TAATCTGGGAGAGCCAAGAATCGCTATAGTCAACGAACAAAGCCAGGACAACTCAGATCTGTAAATGAAACTTACCCGAAGCCTTAGAAGGCATACAAGTCATGGAATTATAAAAGATCTTATAGTAAGGTCCAAGCTTGATAAGTCTAAAGTATGAAAAAGAAATGTGCCGTAAACTGCCATATAAAAGATCTGGGTCTCTTACATTCCACCAATTTAATACTTATAGTAGATCCCGGGTCTAGTACATGGTTGAGAGCTTATAATGTAAAAATTTGACATGAAACACACTTTGTGTTTATGACGGGTAATCAAAATTTTTGAAGAAATTGGTATTTGGGTAAGATCCTGTGATTTAACCCAGGTCTATCTTTTATATTTTTTTTAAAAAAAGATGATAATCGATTTTTTTTTTATATAATCGATTTGCAACATTAATAAAATTATAATCGATTCCTTTTTAATCTATTGTGCATCGATTAGCAACTAATATCGATTATTACCAATTGTTCTAATCGATGCCAATCACCCCTGCCGCTGGTAATCGATGCCCACCCTATTTAAAATTTTCCTGATATAATTATAAAATCGGCCCTAGTAAAACGTTAGCATGACTATCATGTGACTACGACGATCACGTGACCACGATGCACTATGACGATCATGTAACACCGACGGATACGAATACAAGGGCTATTATTTTTTATTTACTGTATTTTATTTATTTATTTAGATAGTTTCTATTCTACTGTTTATTTTATTAAAAATTATACATATAGCATCATTATGCATAAGATCATTATACATAAATTGTTATGCATAGAATTGTAATGATAGTATTTGCTTTAAAACTAAGGGTTACGGATATTATTGTAAATAGTTTTATGATAATCAGCTAACAATTAAATAGTCAAGTATTAGTAAAATGTTTTCTTATAAAAATGTTTTGTAAAAGACTTGTAAAAGGCATCGTCCACTGCCTTAAGTCTTCACGATTTAATAAAACAAAGCTTTTTCATCTTGAATTTCTCCTAACAAGACCTAAACCCACCCTATAACTGAATAATTTGGTTAATTTGGTGACGATGACAGGACCTCAGGTTGCCTACCTAGAGAAAATCAATTCGAAGATGGTTTTATTTTATTAAACTAAGTCCCGAAAGCCCAATTTACATGCTCAACATATCTCTTAACGGTCCTGTTTTTATGACTATTAAACAACATTTCACCAACGATTCTTCATCAAACTCTCTTACCCGATGTCCCAATACTCTAAAAATCTAATGTAGTATTAGTAAAAAAAAATTAAAACGAAACAAAAACAGAACAAAAGACAACAAAAATTTATACTTATCTTGAAAAATTTTCATGCCTAAGTTCCTTTTCATATGTTTCGTTGCGCATGCCCAATTTCTGACTTGTTCTATGTCGCAATTATTTACAAAATACTGCCCTAAATAGAAAAGAGAAATTAGTAAAGAAAGAAATAAATAAAAAAATAATAAATAAATAAGCAGTGTTCGTTAGTTCGTCGGTATCATGTGATCATTACGTTGTGCGTAATGTTGACAGTGAATCTAATAATTATGTTATAATAGCATATTAAGTACGTACTATTGCATAATTTTGTAGTAGGATTAATGTTGCAGAGTAGTATCAGAGGTGTACCTACTTTTAATAATAGTTGGAGAAGGTAAGCTACTTAGTTTTAAGTTGTTCAAATATTCAACTAGGTAAAGATTTTCATAACTATTTTTATACTCTTCAGTTGTCTTAACAATAGCATCTGCGCTCAAGTATTCATACGCTTTGCTTAAACATAGTCCCATAACAATTTTATTAACCAAATCAACATCAGCATTTTTTGGAGCAAGAATTTTATGCTTTACAAAATAACATGGATTATTGGCGTATATAGTTATATCAGAATATATAAATTTAATTAAGTCAAGTATGTTTTGAGAGGGATAAACTAAATCATTTGGAAGTTTTATAATATTACTTTCTTCAGCTATATATAGAATCTAATCTTTGCCAAGTTGCAGAAGCTAGTCTTAAAATTGTTGTTGTTCTATACTATCGTTGATATCATTAGCTTGACATAATCACATACTTTTTATTAGCTTTATCTTCTTAATATATTGTCCCAAAAAAGAGCGCTGTAAACAGGAGTTAACAATATCCTATCTTCGACCTTTAGGTATTATAGATAAAATCTGTCAGAAATTACCTCCAAGTACAACAGTTTTACTATCAAAAAAGAGCTGCTCCAAAGCTGGATTTATAGCTTTTATTAAATCTTTTAGTGTTTTATCAAATGCTTCAAATACATAATACTTCATTATGGGAGCTTTGTCTCAGATAATAAGACAGGTTTGTTGTAAAAGACTTGCTGACTCTGTTTCATATGAAATATTGTAAGTTGAATCTTCATTTATATTAATTAGAATTTTGAAGCACAAATACACAGTACAACTACTATTCAGCAAAAAAGCAGCAATACTAGATGAAGCTACTGTGAGAGCAATCTTACCACTTGATCAAATTTTATCCAGTAAAACACTATATAAGAAAGTTTTACCCATACCCAGGGCTATCTATAAAGATTACCATTCCTTCTTCACGTTCAATTGCTAAAACAATAGTATCAAAAATAGCTTTCTGCTCTGTATTTAAATATTCAATATTCTTTTTAGCTCTATTGCCAAGGATTTCAGTATCATACTACAGCTCTTCAAAGATTAAACTCAAGTATTGTAAAGGTTGTTGTGTTAACAGTTCGGGAATTGGCATATTAGAAAAATTTTTTAGGCTTGCTTCTTGTTTGAATAGTATTAACTCTAAATAATGCAAGGTACTGTTTCGTACATAAATATCATGAAGTGCAAATGCAATGCTGCTTTTAGTTTCTTGATTGACTTGATAAAGTATATCATTAGTAAAAGCTGTAATATACTTTTTCTAAAGCAACTCAGACTAAGATAACTAACAAAACAGTAGAATAGTCGCAAACAATTATTGCAATTGTACTCCGGATTGAATTGATTTAGCTTCATTTAAGCATTTATCCTATTTCAGATCATCTTGAAGAAGTCCTAAAGCTTTATATGTATTCTTAAATGAATTGTATTTGACTCTATCAACTGTTCTAAGATTTTTAAAGGATGCTGCACCACAAATAGTATTTAATAACAACTGAAAATAATAATATTTACCTGATCGA